TATTTCATATTTTTTGGATAGTAAGTATCACCAAATACAGGTCCTTGCTTAGGCCTGAGCTTTACCGTGGTGGGGCAGAGGGGCAGGCAGGGGATAGACGTAGTTTAAACGTGTGTACACCTGGATGATGAGAACAGGAATACTAGTTCCACGCAGGTGGAATATCTCCTGAAGTGGGATTAGGCTCTCTAGGCTGATTCACTTCCTACTCTGAAAGCAGAAACACACTTTCTTCCCCTTTGTCAGAGACCCCTAAAATTTAACTTGCAGGAAATGCAGCCTGGGCTATGGCCACCTCGAAACCCGATATCCTCCTGATTCTGCTGCAGAAACTGATGGAAGAAGGAAATACACTGTACAAAGTAGGTAGATTCGTACTTTTTATAACAGAATCTTGGACTTCTGCATGTAAGTAGATTAAATTTCTTTATACCTCCTTTTCGACTACATCATCTGGTATTTTACTGGTCTGTTTAAAAAAAAATAAAATGCGTGTATCAAACATGATTTTTTCTGGTACTGGTAGTATTAATGCAAGTATTATCCTGGTCTAATACCATTAAACATTTTGAGTTCAGAAACAAACAAACACAAACTGTAGTTAATGTGCAAGTTCTCTCACTGTGCTTGTCTGCCAGTATAGCCTATGCTGTGTATATTTATTTTTTAAAAATCTGTCTCTGTTTTCTTCTTGAAGGACACCTCTTGGTAGATGTCAAATATAACATGCTTTTTTGCAACAGTATTGCAATATTAAAAGTTTGTGAAAAGCTTCTTGTTCCCTAAACTCTGCAGAAAGGCAAGATGAAGGAAGCAGCCCAGCGCTATCAGTACGCCTTGAGGAAGTTCCCGAGGGAAGGCTTTGGAGAGGAAATGAAAGCCTTCACTGAGCTGAGAGTTTCACTCTACCTGAACCTGTCACGATGTCGCCGAAAAACAAATGTAAGATCTTACTGTTCCTCTGCTGCCTCTCTGGCTTTCGGAATCTGAGAATTCTCTCCTACTGCATTGCTGGGGTGGACATTTATTGGTGCTATTTTATAATCCTTTTCACTGTACCCTGACTCTGGGCTTTGTTGTGTTAGCAAATGGGCAATTTATAAGAGGAGTGTGTGTTGCAGTGGGGGATCTATTACAGCTAGTCTGAGGTCATCCAGTTATTTTGGAATGATGAACTGCTGCATATCTATGGTACTTTTCAAAGACTGGATGGACAGTGCTGCCACCACCCTTTGTTGTGACACAGCCCAGTCTGGTGCCGTGGGTGCTTCCAGGGGAGGCAGAGCCTGTGCCACGGCCCCAGAACCTGCAGCTCCCTCTGCCTGCTGGGGTGTAACCGGGGTGTTTGGTTCATTGCCAGGATTTTGGTATGGCTGAAGAGTTTGCTACCAAAGCCTTGGATCTGAAGCCCAGGTGTTACGAAGCCTATTATGCCAGAGCAAGAGCCAAGAGGAACAGCAGGTACTGTTTGATTCTATGGATCTCTCTGCACAGATTCTTTTTTAACCTAACATTTTTAATAACTTGTTCTCTTCCGCTAGTTCTATGTGGAATTTGCAAAGAAAAAGTTATTTTTTGTGCACTTTCCATCTGTATTAGGTCTCTGTATCAGTTAAAGCCAACAACACCCAAATAGCAATATTGAATACTTATTTCGGTAATCACTGGGCAGTCCAGAAAGTAACAAACTGATATGAAGAGGGATTATTTGAAATGTAAGACTGCATGGGTCTGCTACTCACATGACTGAGCAGAATGTGGCCAACAGTGTGCAACCCAGCCTTATCACTGCATTATTTATTACCAAGTTTATTTATCATGTATTACTGGCTGGTTTTATAGGACAGGATATGTTGAATCATTAGCAGTTAAAGATAAAAAACAAGGGGAGAGAGGAGGAACTATCTCTTCTAGTCTGGAAAAATGGCAAACTATAGAGGTATAGCTGAAGTACAGGGAAAGGTGCCTTTGGTTCACAGTATCTCTTCTAAACAGCTCGATAGATAGTCATGGAGTTCAGCAGGTTCCCTACTCTGGAGGTAACTGTGAAGGGCTTGTGAGATGAAGTGTCAGTTCCTACTGTTCCCAGCAGAGACTTCTGCTGCCTCCCTGCATGGATTGTCACAACACTCAAGGAAGGACTTAGGGCTGGGTCTGTGGTTCACCAGAGGGAAGAATTTCCTGAGGTGAAGAACATCCAGTTCTCACATTGTCACCACCTGCAGCAGGAAATGACACATCAGAATATTTCTCTGCAAGTGGTGGAGGTGGATTAGTAATAGGCAATGGTGGGGCTCAGATCTGCTCTGGATCTTCACTGTTTATTTTTCTTTTTACCCTAAACAGAAAGTTACTTGCTGCTCTTGCTGACCTACATGAAGCCGCTCAGCTGTGTCCCAGCAATCAGGAGATAAAACGTCTCCTGGCTCGGGTGGAAGAGGAATGCAAACAGTTGCAGAGAACACAGCAACAGAAACATCAGTCTGCACAGCTACTGGAGCAAACCAACAACTCTGATAATGAGGAGGGTGTTGTATCAGGCGTGAAGGAGAATTTCAGTCCTCAAGACAGGGAGGATGAACTGTCACACCCTGATGAATCTGTTTCCCCACCACAAAGGCTGCAGTGTTCCTCAGCTGCTTCATCGTTCAGCAGGACCCTTCAGGAAGGTGTTCAGCAGAAGGCTCGGTCTGTGTCCCCTCAGAGCAGAACAAGCAGTAAGTACCTGAGAGAGCCAGGCTTGATCATGCAGCCAACAAAGCAGGCACAGATTGTAAAAACTAATCAGCACCTGAGCTCCATCCAGCCTGGATCTAAACCAGGAAGCAGTCAAGGTAATACAAAGGCACAATCATCTTTGCAGCATCATCCCCTAAGTCCCTTGCCTGTCCCCCACTCTAGAAGTCAGCATTTGGATGGGACAAGCACACTGTCATCTGGAAGTGTTTCCGCAGATCCCAGTGCTGAATTGTGCAGTGAGAAGTTCATGTCCAGCCATTGTTCCCATCCACAGCATCACAAGACTCTCTCTTCTCATTCTTTTGCCAACAAGTCTAAACCTGCAGACAGGTCAACAGGCCCTGCTCAGATGAACTTCGGTAACACAAGGCAGCAAAGCCCTGTACCCAGTGCTGTCTCTTCAAGCTCTCCATCCAACAGTGTGATTCTGGCCAGCTCAGCCAGCAGCTTTTCAGGCAGCGTTAAGGGGCTGGGCCCTGATGTTCGACTCAAGGAGAGTAACGTGAGTCAGGTTCAGGGTACTGAGCACCGACCCCGCAATACCCCATTTATGGGAATCATGGACAAGACTGCAAGGTTCCAGCAGCAAAACATGCAATCCAGTCGCACTTGGCACGCTCAGGCATCAGATGGATTATCCACAAACGTTGCTCCTGGGGGCATCCAGCCCACAAACTTGGAGCAGTTCTCAGTGAAACACTACCCAACTAAAATCCCCTCTCTGGCTGCTGCCCTGGGAGATGGCAACCAGAGCAGTGTGCAAGCGAGAGACCGCGAGGAACTCCCCTGCCCAGTCCCTCCCCACTGTCCAGACAAATCCCCCAGCCAAGGTTCTCATTCATACCCCGATGCTGCAGCCAAACCCCCGTCCCACAGCAGCCAGGACGGGCACCTCAGCCACACGGCAAAACCAAAGCGATCCTTCATTGAATCAAATGTATAAATCCTACTTTGGGTATTTACTGGGTAAACCTGGCTCAGCACAGGGGGTGACTGCTCTCACAACACTCACTGGCTGGGCACAGCTGGCTCCGAGGGAACAGCCCGTGCTGGCCAGTCCTTACTGGGATACAACCACTTCACACTGTTCCTACCAGCACAGGACAGTGACAGTAACTGGAATAACAGACTTCTGTAGGAAGAGTCAATTAGGGTTGTCCAACCAACAGAGTAGGACCTCGAGCAGAGAAATCCTTTCCATTACATTTTACCATTAAATGAGAGTTTCCTTTCATGTAGGGCTTCAATCTTGGCTTTTGGTTCTGTTGCATCTCACACATAATACTTGTGCCTCTCCAGTGCTTAAGTGCTTACTTCTCACAGCAGTGTTAAGGAAGATAATCTGCTGCAGAATACTCAGATCTGTACATGCATGCATTTTTTTAAATCAAAGATAGTATTTTATCACTTTTCTAGCGGGATGTAATTTGGGTTGCATGATGTACATTTAGGAAGCATAAATAATTTGTGTATGAGTAAACTATAAGCAGCCATGTTTGACATGTAAATATAACTATTTTTGGTAACTAGGAGAAATCGAATAAAATAAAGAGTGACATTTGCATGTGTATTAAAAAGCTTTGACCATATTGGTTATTGCACTGAAGAACACAATATTATGGCCTATTAACAATAATTGCACTTTATATAGGTTATCTAATCACCTTTGGGTGCTATCTTAAAGCAAAATGATTTATTGTTTATTTGTGAAAAGGTACAGCAGTTAAATGCCTAGTAAGTGTTTTTATGGGAAACCTAACAAATGGATGGAGTGAAGATGAAAGTTTGAGGAAAAGTGTATGTGCAGTGGCATGGCAGGATGAAACTGTGAAGTTTTTTTGGAGGAAATAAGGTTTTATATTGGCAAGAACGTTGTGAAAAGGAACGGCTGCAGCGAACGGTGCGACGAGTGCAATTCAGTTGGAGAGCTCAGCTTTACACCCTGCCCAGCGTGCTTGGTTACAGGGCTCTGTGTCCAGTGTAAGCACCTGTACCCAGCTCTACAAGTCCTTTTGGAGTTTGCATCATTATGCTTTAGCTTATTTATTGTTTACCGGTTCTTTGATATTTTGTACAATTCATATATTAGTCTTGTCCTGTAGTTCTATTTTTGCACAGCTACTGTATTTTTTTCCATACAAAATAAACATGCTTAATATACCTGTGGGATGAGATGCAGTCCCTGATGGGATAGAATGATATAGATCCTATACTTTGCTATTTCTTACCTTCTGAAAGACTGTAGACTCAGAAGTCAGAAATGTAGTGAAAATTTTAAGAAAACTTTATTTGAAAAACTGTTATTACTTCATTTCTTGAACAGAAATACCACAAAGGAAAAATAACCAATAACTTTAAAAAGTTCTTCTGGGAGCTTCCACCAATGAAGGTTTTCTTTGAAAGAGCCACAGATTAGACCAGAAATAGAACTTTTTTTCCCAGTTGTTCCTGATACAGTTAGTTCCTTTAGCTACACAGAATTCCAAAGGGGTTTAACATTTCTGCTGAGTCTCCAGCCAGCGAGTGATGGCCATTTTTAGTGTCCTGTTTGGTGTGAGCATAAGGGAGTGGAGGGGAAGATTGGTCATGGGACTAGATCGTCTCTTATTGCTGATCCAGTGTTCCATTGCTTCCCTTTCATAGGAATAGCCATCTACAACAAAACCATCAACAGAAGCTCCTGTTACAGAGGCGTGGGCACTGTGGCACTCTACGAATTTTAGATATTTAAATGGAAAGGAAGGAAATACATCCAAACAGGAAAAATTGAGATTTAGAGTAAGTCCATGGTCTGTGAGAGCTCTACTGTGAATATAAACAGTTCAGGCTAGTTTCATGTTTCTATCTCTGACTGCAAAGCACCAAAGTATATTATACATGTTAAATAAGACTGTCTTTTCAGTTTGACTGATCCATAATGTGAAGTAAAAGCTCTTTAATACAAAATAGCTAACACAGCTAAAGCTTGCTGCGCCCATGACCACTGTGGGTGCCCACCTGGCTGCCCCAGCACTGAGCTGGGCCCCTGCTGAGCCTTCACCAGCTGGCCAGTTTCAGGGCTTCAGCTCTTCAGTTGGTACCTAAACAAGGTGTTACTTAAAGAAGAGAAATGTGGCCCCCGCTCAGTGTTATTTAGCCCAATCACCCAGAAATCTCTCTGATGGAGATTACACTGCTCACCCTGTATTCAGTAAAGCCACTGCCACTCCAGTAGTTAGCAAATGTCTTCATACTTTGAGCATTTTAATTCTCAGGAGTCTGACACCTCACGACTGAAGTTAATCACTGCGTCAGAAGAACTTACACTGATCTTCTGATGACTGTATGCCCCTCCCCACCCCCAAGATTAGAACTACTAAGCACTAGTTCTCCACAGAATGTTTTACCTGTAGAACATCATAAGCTCCTGGTGTAGCACAGTTCAAAGACCTTGCTGAATTTAAAGGAGTCTCCTTCAATACAAACTTCTAAGTGCCCTAGAGATGGTGTGCTAAGTAGTAATGAGCCTGGGTTTCCTTGGCTTTTTGCCCCAGTGTGTGCACTTATTTTGCACTTATCAAGCCAAAGATGTAATTAGGCTTGTAATTATATTTGCAAAGGCACATTAAAAAAAAGAAACAAATGCTTGATACAGTATTCTTCTTCCTATTAGAGATGTCATTTGGCAAATTAAGCATTTATCACAATTCTGTTTTGTTGCAACAGCTATTTAAAATAGTTTATCTTTCTGATAAGACAGGCCCATTTTTGTGTTCCCACACCGATCTTTATCCTCAAGTAATTTTAACTGATGTCATGTAAAGACATACCCGCTGCAATGACAGGATCCTTCATAAGCTCCCTTGTTATAGGACACAGGAACTCATCAGGGACAGGAACAGAAACTGAGCTCATTGTCATCCTCAGTTCTTCAATCTTCTGGAGAATTTTACTGCGCAGGCCTAGAGACTCTGAAAAATTATTCATACATGAAGCAGACAGCACAGACAGGTACGGCAAAAAGTCAGCAGCTGCTTCAAGAGACACAGCTCCATCTCACCACCCCCCAAACCAAAAACCTGCAGCCAGCCCAGGCCCAGGATGTCTCTTCTGCTACTCAACAGGAACCTGAGTAAGGAAAACAACCAGTAAAACCAACACAGGTGCAGCAGTGCTGCAGAGCCATGGCTGTGTGGTGATAAACTCCTAACATTTAGTTAAACTGGGATTAACTAAGTAGCACTGAAAATTAATTTGCAGTAGCACTGAAAATCTTGTTCATCTTGGGCAGGTAGTATTTTCCTGTTTTGTAAGTGCCTGAGCCGTGGCAGGTAGAGAGCAATTCTTCAAGTCAGTTTTGTCAGGCCATAATTTTTATACCTTTGTTGAGTCCTTTCCCCACAGAGAACTCTTATTTTCAGCAGGTCATTGATCACATTCAGTTCTCACAGGACTTCCTAGTCAGTGTTAATTGACTGGCCTCAGCAGGTGATGCTGCAACAGAGTTTTAGGCTACTTCAATGCTAAAGACAACGTGCAGAAACTGAGGAAGCCAGGGGGCTTTCGTGGATGACAATTCTGTCAGATTCCCAGCACCTGTTATTTCTAGAATTCAACAAAGCTGGCTGCTACACAGAGATACTGTGATCTCATATAGACCAAGTCAACACACACACAATGGTAATGAAATAAAAAGGCATTCTGGGGGGGGGAAATCCATGTATGGAATTCTTAACTTTCTTTTATTACAACATTTCAAAGTCCTTTAAAAATTAAAAACTATTTGGATTTCCATACTCTTACCGATTTTTAATTCATTAGCAAGACCTTCCTTAGTAAGATTCAGTAGCTCCTTGCCATCAATATTATTCATTTTGAAAAGCCCAACAAAGTCTGCTAAATCTTGTGCACAGAGCCAGGCTGAAACATCATCCTCTGACCAGTCCTCAACAGCCACCTCAGATTCAGTTTCTACAATATTTCCTTTGGAAATGAAAAAGACAGTTACAAAACAAAACAAAAACCAAAAAATCCCCAATCAAACAAAACAAACCCACAAAACCCAAAAAACAACCAACAATGAAACCCCCCAGTTCTAAGAAACAATGTCATTAATGAACTCTGGTTTTAAGTGTTCTCAGTACTATACATTCTCCATCTAATAAAAGAAATGCTTATTAGACATTATTTTGGGGAAGAGGCACGATAATTTTTGTCTTTTTACCTGTCAATTTTCAAAGTTTAGAAGAATTTAATCTCTCAGATGCCCACATGTCTGTAAAATCTGAACTGAATAACTAAAAACCAGAAAAGTGGAACCATCTCACACCTCCTTAGAAAGCAGACTAAAGCCCAAACTTATTCTTGTGCTTTGAACGAGATCACATGTACCTTTGTTCCACAAATTTTGGGTGCTGATGTGTTTTGTAACAGTAGCTATCTTGGGTTTTTTTCACCTGTAACAACTGGTAAACTGTTTTTCTTGTTGACAATTATGCCTGCAATTAGCATATTTTCTGGTTAACCCACCACAAATGATGCTTGTCCAAAAAGTCTTTCAGCACTCTGGCAATAATATTCATCTCTTAAATGCTGTCCAGAGAGCAAGCAATGGCAAATATCAGAAAAGAAGATACAGCAGATTAATCAAATTAAGATACATCTAGTATATTTTTCTTTAAAAAAATAACCAAATTCCTTTGTAGGACTTCAATCAGGTCAGTTCAGAGAAAAGACCAGTAACAGGCACACAATTCTGAGGTTACACATTAACTGCAGGTAAGAATGTGGGGGGTTTGCATCTTCGGAAGGTGCTCTGAATTTAAAGAACAAATTACAAACACTTCACACACTGACCTGCAGAGGGTTGCTTCAGGTCCAACTGCCATATGTGCACAGTTTTATCCATTGAGCCCGTGGCAAGTAAGTGACTATGTGGTGCAAAAGCACAAGTTGTAACATATCTGCAAATAAAAAAAAGAACACAGTGTGAAAATTCACGAGAAAAAGACTTAATTTCTTTTATTAACAGTGAAACAGAACAATCATATTGAATTCTTACCTGGTATGCTGAGACAAAGTACGAAGGGTATTGCCAGTACTCTGTAAAAGAGTTTTTGTAATTTTAAATCTTAAAGAATAAAAAGAACATTTCTTCATTTGCATGCTTCCTCTCAAAGTAAGGAATATTGCCTCTTGAAAGGTGACACAAGTTACCTTCAGAGAAGTTACACAGCCTTGACAAAGCTGATCAGCAGTAGAGGCAGAACTGCAACTTGAATTTCCTGCCTGAAGCCCCCCTGGATTCCTTGGGGCACTGCCACCCTTCCCAATGAGCCAGAACAGAACATGCAGAAGAACCGTGCCAGAAACATCAGCTGAATGAATTACATCCATACTGGCTGACTGTTCGTGGGGATAAAAACATTTCTTTTACAAATCTGGTCTTGGAAATGACCAAAAGGGAAGAGATTTAAGCCACGATCCTTCAACTGGACCAGTAATTAACCACAGCAGTGGTTCTCCTATTTGGCCACTAAATATCAATAAAAAACCAAATTCCTGAATTTCCACAGTTTTCATTTATGATTGAAAGACTTTCCCTCTTATGAAAGATACCTTTTTTTGACAGGTAGCGACGAAGTGGGAAGATGATGAGCAGTTATTCAGAATCACTAATTGATCAGTCAGCACTCCAGTAGTTTGAGCTGCCCAACATGATCAAAGTGCCCTATTTTAGGCCAAAATCTCTCTCTGTCCCATGAAGGCTTTATGTCCCCACTTTTCCCCACAAAATCACAGGGGATCTCTGCAGATCACCTAGTACAGACCCCTTGCTAAAGCAGGGCCACCTACAGCAGGTGTCCAGGTGGGGTTTGAGCATCTCCAGAGGAGAATCCACAACTAGAAAAGTTATTGTCCCATCTGATAAAAACCAAAGGCCACAAAAGCTGACAAACAGTATTAAAAAATACTTATGCTGTGGTTTTGTGCATCTTTTAATTTTCTGAAGCTCCAAAACTCTGGAGGACTTCTTACATACCTGTCTAAACTTCAGACTACTAAAATAACTGGACTAAAAACTGTGCAAGTATCATATTAGTGATTTTGGTGAAAAACTTTAACACTAATTTAAAAATTGTATCAACACATTAGGTATGTGCAGAGCAAGCTGAAGAAGCTTAAAATTTGTTCATCCTCCATTTTCAGCAAAATTATTTTTTTTAATACTAGAAAGTACTAGAGGTAAATAGCACTTACAGGTGAACCATGAAAGATGTAATAACATTATTACAGAAAATGCTTAAACAGTATGTTTTAAGGAGAAGACATTTAACATAATTTTCTTGACTTCTTTATTATGCTTCTATTTTATCTGCACTTTATATATAATTAACTAAAGAATTTCTATGATCACCATTCCCAATTTTATGTCAAAAGCTACACTCCTCCTTGCTTTGGAAGCTAGGCATGTTAGGATAAACAAAAAATCGTTCTGCTTCAATATGAACATAACTTGTAAGTATGGAATTAATTGAATAATACCCTACTGCAGAGAAATCAACAAATCCTCAAAAGGTAGATAAAAAGTGAGAAAGACTGATCAATTCTCAAGAGACACTTTTCCTTAGACAACTCCTGCTCCTCCCCCCAAACGCACAGTAAATAATTTGGGATTATATCATTTCTATTCTTCAATATTCCTTTATGCTGATAAGACACTGCAGCACTACTGACATTAAAAGACAACAACCCAATGAATGGTCTGTACTATGTTATACTTACAGTTTCATAGATTATGACACACTTGTCCACAGACCTTTAAAAAAAACAGACATTAAAATGAAGCAGAGAGGGAAAAAAACTGTTTTTCATGAAGAAAGGAGGAAAAACCTTTTTTTGCAAACAATATAAGATCAAACATATTTCTTAACAACACCTGATGCAAAGTTTAGATATCTATCTCCCCTCCACCAGTGCCCACCTTAAACAACACTGACCAGTGTGAAGTAAAAACCAGCCAATACGAAAACTCTGCCCTTGCATGAGAATTCCCGAGGCAAAGGATTTGCACAGTTGCTTTTGCCCCCACTCTCTCTACCATATCTCTGCTTTATATCTTTGCAAGTAGCATCTGTAAAGCAAATGCACAGTCTGGCTGTCCAAGATCTACTCTCAGCCCTTCTTATTTTTGAGACCTTTCCATTTGCAAAGCAAGCCAGAGGAAGTTGTGTCATGCAATACATAAAATATAGCTGTGCAATGCAATCAGTACATACATATTTCATGAAATACAAATTGCACAGTTATTTACCATGGCAGCAGTATTTCCTGAAAGATTTTATGGGATAGACATTTCACTTATGACAATGTAAGTGAAAACAATAATCTGTACATCTAAGGGAAAATAAAATAACTACATCACAAACATTCATAATGATCTTCAAATACTGAAAAAGACTCCCTTAGAAAGAATATAAAGCAAAGTGTCAAAGCAAGCTATTGTCTCCTGGGGTTTGTTTAGTTTTAAGTTTATTTGCTGGCAATTGTAGTCTTTTTCCTTTGCAAGACATCAGCCTTTCAGTTTAGAAAGTCTTTGTAAATAAGACAGTTAAAATTTAGAGTGGAACCACTGTATTTGCTACTTCAAGCTACCATTTAGTTTAGAAGTGACTAAATACCTTTCATGAGAAGAACAGAGTAAAAGCATACAGTCACTAATATTCATAAAACCATAAGTGATTATACCTACCTTATTTATAACTTCCTCTCTCAACAGCTTGGTCCCTGAGGAAAGCCACTAGCAACGAGCTGCTGCTGAGCATCAACCAGCCCTTTGAGTCTGACCACAGAGCCCCCTGTGCGAGCCCCCTCCCCTCACAGCTGCCTGGAACCCTGGGGGCCGTGCCCACAGCCGGCAGCATTCCCTGTGCCCACCCTGTCCCCACAGCCAGCCCTCCCCTCACACACAGCTCCTGGGAGCAGCATTCCCTGTTCCCACAGCCAGCCCTCCCCTCACACATGGCTCCCTCTGCCCTCCTCACTTCCCCGTGCTTTCCACAAGCACAAGGTGCTGCTTACCCCGACACCAACATCTGCCCATCGTATGAAAATGCACAAGCCAGAACTGGGGCAGAATGTCCATTCAATGTGCATTTATATTTTAATTCAACACCTAAAAATACAGAAAGGAAATTATTACATACGGGCATATCTGACAAGGTACAAGACAAACCACTTTTAGAAGCATAAAGCTCCACCAAAGATGTGACTCTGTGACATACCATCTACAAAGACCACAGAGACAACTTAATTTGAACATCTCCAACTTCCTCACTTTGTAGTCTTAGCATGTCTCACAGTGTTTTAGATATTAAATGCATATCTGTACACACACTATTCATCCTTACAGACTTTTATATAAAAGAGATTACAAAAAAGTACCCTCTGTAGATGTTTTTGGCCATTTACCCCGTCTCTACATTGCAGTTTTAGGAGGAACCACTACTCTTTTCATTTCTCCAGCAATTGCTCAAGGCCCAGGACATATTGAAACATGAAAGCAAACCTCTCCATGGCCTGGCAGATTAAGAGGTTTCAACCTATTGACCTGTTCAAAGGCCACAGTAGATTTTTTTTTTAAATCTTTACTTATACTGTTATTGATAAATAGATGGCTAAATAAAATCTACATGGGGCAGCAGCATCAAGTGGTCAATGCCTCAGTTGCTCTCCTGCTAACAGTTCAGAAAATTTTCAACTTGTGGTTAGTTTGGTTGTGAATTCAGCAGTATAATTTTGATCTTCGATTTAAACTGTCACTAAAGACTTAAGACATTGGTATATGAAAAAAACATTGCTGTGCTCACCTAAGAAATCTGCAAATAAAATAAGCCAAAGCTTTATCTGATTATCTTGTCCACAAGAAGCCATCTGGAAGTATTTGAATCCACTTTCATTATCTGATAAAACTAAAATATATTAATGGGAGTTAGAAGCACTGAAAATAACAGCATACCAGTAAACTACATCAGCAAAAAATCATTACAGAAGTTCTAAAATTGCTTAGAAGAAAGAAATCAGTATCATTGTTATACTGTTTCCTGAACAAGTAGATAAAGACCAGAGCTGTGCTCATATTTTAAGTTTTCTTGATGGTAAATGTTTGATTCCTCTATCTACTGAGTGCACCGACATACTCTTTTTAATTCTATGGTTATACTAATTTTCTCTACAGTTCAGTAGTTCTCAAAGTTATCACCTTGTTTATTGACCTAGTACATTCTTTGCCACCTCCCTGACCACAGCTTTTTCTAAAAATATTCACAATACTTTAAACATCAACTCTTCCCAAGGTCATTTGTATCTTGAGCATCGCTAACAAAAATAATATGAAAAGAAGAGCTAGAAAGAACTTTATTTTTTTTTAAATGTTCCTCCCCTGATGAGTTAAGTAACTAACCAGATACTGGATTTGAAGAAATATCACAGCAGGTAACACCAAGATCATGTGCTTTTTCATTATACAGGCATCTCATTTTATCATCCCAAATGGTTAAATCACCACTTGATGATCCAGTGACAAAGAAATTTCCATTGGGAGAAAATGCACAAGCCACCAAAGAACCATCTTTAACATTTCCAGACCTGAAAAGCAAGAGTACACAGGATTTGAATTTAGAATAAGTACAATTCTGAAGAAGTGATCTATCAAACACCATCTGATACAATAAGCCAAACTTCTAAGTTCTGCACATCAGGACTTGGTAATACAAGGAAGAGAAACTCAACCCAGCTACGGGAAGAGATGCCAAATAAGCACTGCAGCAGGGAGCACACCTGCTCTTTGACTGCAGGAGGAAAAACATGAGATGGCACCCCAAGGCAATAATTTTAACTGAGTGATAATTTTCAAACTACTTGCATGGACTTTACATTTAAAAGTAACATTCTACAGCAGGGCACATTTTAAAAGTCAAAGGTAAATGCACATTATCATAACACAGATTTACATGTACACAAACAAGGGAAAAAAGATTCCCACAATTCCTCTGTTCTGTTTTCAAAGACAAAACAGAACACCTACTAACCCATATCATAAGCTGTAGCTGAGAAGAACACTTTGTGATTTATGATGTAGGGTTAATTTTGAACAACATGTACACAAGAGAAAGCAATGTGGAAAAAAAGTCTCTATTTCAACTAAGCAAAAGCACTTTGTAGAACTGATCTTTAAAGAAAATTTCTAGCAGATACAGAAGTGTGGTCAATCCTCAGGAGGGAAGTGGGGTCAACCTGACATCCTTTACCTTATCTGATAATAACCTAAAGTCAACTGAAAGTGTCTCACTCCTTTTAACGGACAGCAGATCCAGCCCAGCATGCAGAGCTGAACCTACAAGTGCAGGAAGAAAATCAACAGCCATAAGCAACAGTCACACAGCAAGAAATGTCTGTCTTATGTACTCTGTCTTTGTATCTTGTAGAAGCTGCTCATTCTCTTTTGCTGATAGAAGTTTTATTTACTGTGAGAGGTGTCAGACTTAATGTCACAGAAGTCAATAACTCTCCCTGAGAGTCTTGCTAATCAGACCCAGGACTTTCTACAAAGCACTGACTCCTTTAATTCTATCATTAAGAATACTGTCAAATCCACTACTCCCATTTTCATATGCAGAATCCTTTTTCCGTAGTGCAGCTTTTAAAACTTTCCTTCTTTCACACAAAAAGTTGCAGATTCTGCTCTGAAAACGTAACAGTAACATAAACAGCACTGTACATGTTCAGAGTATGCATTTAAGACTTATGGGCCAGATATTAGTATGGGAACTACTGAACAGAAAACAGAGACCACTAAGAAATACACATAAATTAACTTGCTTTCATGATGTTCACATCCATCACAGAGATTATTTAAATAGTCATCTTACTTCACAACTTGAACAGTCAATTACAACAGCAGAGCAGATAAGGAATAAGTGGCTACCTTTGTTCTAATTACCATCCACATATTTGGTCAAGTGACATAACAGTGTGGCAAAAGGTGTTCTCTTCTTCAACATCAACACAATCAACTGTTGCAAAAGAAACAGAGGACCACAGACTGACACTAAATGGTTAACTAACATCCTCTGACATAATTTTTAACTACCCTGATAATTTCTATGTGATATTGATCTCAGCGTTTAAAACCAGGACATGTGCATTTTTCTATCTGCAGTTACAAATGACAGTAAAAAAAATTCATCAGCTGAAAATACATACACATATACACATCCCAAAATACATATAATTAAAGTTAAGCTGACTACTGCTGGCGAGTTAACACACTGAAATGAACTTTTAATAGCTCAAGGGGACAGGATTGGGATGTTCAAGTTCTTTCTTACATCTCTACAACGCAAACAATGTCAAAGCAGATAAACCCTTACAGTTCAGAATACTAATGACTGAAATTCCAAATTTTTCTTAAAGATAAAAATAAGAAAAAATATGTAATCACTACTTCTTTATTGTCTGAAAACAAAACAACCACTTCAGCATTTCTTTATGCATTAGAAAAACCACGGTGGCAAAAATCTATAAGAATTCTGTTTATGGACAAATTTCCAGATTTACACTATTTCAAGTAACTACAATAAATCATTTTAAAAAACTTTATAGTTCCCATCTAAATCACTGCTGTGGAAGGCAAAGGCAGAGAGGCCACGATTACCAACACCAAACAACCTTGGCTTTCACAAATGTCTGCTCCTTCAATCCTAAGTGAAAGTTCAATTCTCTCAATCCTTAACTACTTTCCAAACTTTGAAGAGCAGTTGTGTAATTGCAGCTCTAAAACCTAAATAACATCTTGCCCAAGTACAGATTACAACAACTGGCCTGAAGACTTTCCCGAAAGACAAAGATGTAGAGGAGGACTTAGAAGATCACTCTAAGGTTCACACCTTTAACTGTGCAACATCAATAAATATAATCATCTGCTTTGTTTCAAGTGTTTCTTGGAAACCCATGTCATACTTAACTCATTTAGCTCCAATAATCCTTTCTGTCACTGTTATGTCTCAAATTGCATGGTTTCAGGACACGTCCATAGTTTCCAAACTCTGACTGCTGGATTACTATCAAGCTTCTAAGACCTTCTTGGACTCCAAACTCCTAGTAATTAAATATTTAATTTATACCACTATGTATAAACAATATAAAGTACACAGTACAGTCAGGTTCCATTAACTAACTGTATATTATGTATCGCAGTTTGCTGACTCGCTGCTTAGGAACCAGATGCAATGCAGTACACAATGCATCATGATTTCATGTTAAATCAATGAAATGAACTTTTAAAAAAATCAGGATTTAGATGCAAGATAACTGAGTAAAAATTAAAACTTCTTGAGTTTGCATTAACATAAGAAAAGCCCAAAAGAACCCAAAACAACAAAACCAAACCAACTAACCAAAACCAAAATCCAACAACAACAAAAAACCCCACCAAAAAACCCAAAAAAGACTCAGCATTTCTCCCAATCTTAGGGTCTTCCAAGTCCTGTCCCCGTTTCTTCGTGATACCCATCAGCGGTGTAAGCCTGTGAGTCCTGTACGCAGCACAGTACACTACTCACACTACACTCCTGCAGGCCAGGGACGGCCGAGAGCCCTGGCAACTGACCTGTAGAGTGGAGCGACTGGGACGTCCCACGTACAACGAGGGGTGCCTGGTCGGCGCCCCGCGAGCAGAGCGGGAGCCGCGCGGATGCAAAGCGGCACAGCGCGACGGGGACTGGCGCGCGGCTGGCCCAGCACCCGCCAAGCCGGCGGCCGTCGCGCGTGTCCCACAGCGCCGTGGTGCCGGTCCGTGGAGCACGAGGCCAGCACGCGGCCCGACGGCGAGAAGCAGCAGCAGTGCACCGCGTACGTGTGGCCGCGCAGCGGCGAGTACGGCAGCTCGGAGAAGTCGCGCAGGGAATACACGCGAACGGTTTTGTCCAAGGAACACGTAGCCAAGCACGACGAGGAGAAGGCGCAGTAGTTGACGTCATCACTGTGATCTGATAAACTGTGAATTAGTGTTGCCATTTTCAAATAAAGAATCTGAAAAAGAGTTCAACAGTCAGACTTAACTTCCCTATTTCAGAAATGAAAAGACACATTCTCCAGGAAAAAAAAAAAAAAAGGAAAAAAAATTCATTTGCAAAGGCACATTTTTCATCTAAGCATCATTTAGGCATAGAATCACAGAACAGTTTGGGTTGGAAGGGACCTTAAAGCTCATCCTGTTCCACCCCCTGCCATGGGCAGGGATACCTTCCCCTATCCCAGGTTGCTCCAAGCCCAGGACACTTCCAGGGATCCAGGGACAGCCACAGCTTCTCCAGGCAACCTGTGCCAGGGCCTCCCCACCCTCCCAGGGAACAATTTCTTCCTAATCTCTAATCTAGACCTACCCACAGTTTAAATCCATTCCCCCTTCTATCACTATATGCCCTTGTAAAAAGTCCCCCTCCAGCATACTTCCAGAGTGTGGCTGGAGTATTTCACAGTGAAGACGGAGACAAAGAAGCCATTCAGTCCCTCAGCTTTCTCCATGTCCCAGGTAAACAGGTCTCACATTTCCTTTCAGAGAAGGCCCACATTTTCTCTAGTCTTCCTTTTATCACCAACGTGCCTATAGAAGCTTTTCTTGTTGCCCTTGACATTCCTAGCTGGATTTAAATCAATCAGGACTTCAGCTTTCCCAATCTGATCCCTGACTACTCAATCAATTTTTCTTTATCCTCATAGGCTACCTGTCCTTGCTTCCATTCTCTTCCTTTTGTGTTTGAATTTGTCCAGGAGCTTCCTTCTGCTCCTTTCACAGACAGCAACAGTAGTGATGGCAAAACATCACAGCAATAATAACAGCCTGAGGTTTGACAAGAGTTGACTAAAACATTTAAGTCAAAATGTGAACATTAGTTGGGTGATCAGAATCTGAACCTCTCAGGAAATTGCATTTGCTGCTACACAGAACAGCAAAAGAAAATATGAACATCACACACATTTTCCCAGTACTTAAAACTGCAGTGTCAGACAAGCGATATACACTGCTGAGGTCTGGGAAATCCCCAAAAAGGCACATCTCAACCAGTTACTCCCATGCTGCAGATCACAGCCAAGCTTCCTGAGAATAAGGAAGCACTGAGCCAAAACGAACTGCTCACACAACTCTAAAAAGATGTTTATAATGAACAAAAGCAGTAATACTATTTATATTGAGTTGAGTTAACTTAAATAACAGTCTGCTGGTTTAGATAAGTATTTGACTCTGAACAATTTCGATGCTGAGGCATCTGCAAATAAAATCATATATATTCATACATTTTAAAAACATATAAATTTATATTCACGTGTTTGTATGTATGTGGACATACAAATATGTATATTATGCATACATGCACAGGTATGTATGTAGACATACAGACACAAAGGTACATATAAGGGCAAAATCCCTGTTCTCCTCAGGCAGTGTATGGCAGGCCAGTTTAGTTAAAGACTAAATCATTGCATACTCCCTGTTGTAGCTTCAGGATTTTCAGAGTTTTACTACTATTCTCTTTAAAACCATTAGGGAGATGTAGTGTCAATAACATGTCTGATCTGTAGAAAGAAAATGAACATACTTTCTTCAATTATGAGAAACTGCAGAGTCAGACAAAGCTTGACATCTAGAAAGATGAGGCTGAAAAAGCGACCTTAATCTCACTGTTAAGAGACTTTCAGGAGCTCACTGCAGGAAAGCAAACCTAGGAACGAGATGTTTCAGTATCAATAAACTGGCTGAGGGAGCGAGGAGCACCGGGAGCGTTCGTCACCAGAGAAATGTTCAGCACCACGGCATCACCTCCTCTGGCGATTACCCCCAGCAGCTGCCCACATGAAAAGCGACAGCAATGCCCGATACGGCTTACAGCCCCTTCCCTGTTACTATGGCCCACAGCCCACCCCACACAGCCCACCGCTCTCGGGAGGGCGGCGGGGTCACCCCGAGCTCCAGTGGCGCGTGAACACCACCTCGCCGGCACCCGGCGGGGCACGCCGCCCCGGCGCTGGGACCCCGGCGCGCTCCCGGCGGCGCTGAGGGACCCGGCGGCTCCCGGCCGGCGCTGAGGGACCCCGGCGGCTCCCGGCCGGCGGCTGAGGGCTCCCCAGGCCGGCGCTGAGGGCCCCCGGCGGCTCCGCCGGCCTGAAGGGACCCGCCCGCTCCCGGCTCCCCCGCCACCACCCGCGGGCTCCTGCCTCGCCGCCCGCCACTGCCGGGACGCTGCGCACGCGCGCTCCCCCCGCCCTCCGACGTGGCGCAGCCCGGGCCAGCCCACCCCGCCCGGGGCCGCACCACGGCGCGCCAGCCGCGGGGGAGCCGGCGCTGCGTTAGTCGCTCTGCCCCGCCGCCACAGCGTCGGCCGTGAGGCGGCGCGGGCGCGGTGGCGCAGGTTTCGGCCCTTCCGCGGCTCCCAGGGCCGCACAGCCCCGTCAGCGCTGTGGCTCGCGCGACGCGGGCCCCTGCCGGCACCTGTGAGGAGATGGCGGCGGGCCGGGGCTCCGGCCGCTGCCGAACCTCAGAAAGCCGGGCCCCCGCCGGCTCCGCCCTGCACCGGCACCCGCCGCCCGTCCCGGCGCGAAGGGAGTTGAACAAACAGCTTCCCCAGCACCTGTCAGAAATTCACACCATCGCCGCTGCACATCCAGATACACGCTCAGCAACTCATGCAAAATAAACGGTTTATCACCACACCTACTTTTTTTTCGAGGAAGACACAGTCACTTCCTCGGAGTCACCCTGTGCCCAGGAAGCATTCCCTGCTGTGTAATAATCTCCCTCCCGTGTTCAGTCTGTACCATCTCGCGTTCTGTTTTACGGCACGTTAGTTGACTGCACACCGTGTGATTCACTGGCTGAAACCTGTCTCACCGGCATCACCGTAGTAGCTGTTACTGCCTTCAGCTTCCCAGCTGTTGAGCTGAATTAGGATACGAGCTGGAAAATTCCAAGTATGTATGTAGTGTCGCTGGTAACCTGGCTCTGACATTTCAAAAAACTAACAGATCTAGTAGGGCAGACAAAGCATTGTCCAGTACAGAATCCGAGACTGTTTTTCATCAAAGAATTAGTTTTCGGATTTATCTAAGCAAGCTTACCATCACACATTCACAACACTGATTAATCTTCACACCTCTGGTACATGTCAGCAAACCTTTTTACTGAAGTCTTCAGAAAGGTCATGAAAAGAAAAGGTGTGGAGCAGTCTGGGGGAGTTCATATTAGAATGCAAAACTGCCTGACACCCAGATATGAATTTTTTATTCTACGTAATAATGGATTATTTTAACAAGACTTTAGAAAAGAAAAATATCATCGAACAAGATATTCTGGGGAGGGCAACGGAAACAAACATTTCATTAAAAAAATAGGTACTGACTGTTCTTTCTTAGTAGAGACAAGAACTATAATAGCAAGGGTGCATATAAACCAAGGCTCCAAGGCTCAAACGTGGCAGGCCTAGTTTAAAAGCAAAAAACACCCAACAGTGCTTTATGAGAGAGCTATAAGTACTGGTGTTCCACAATATCCCTTTGTAATTCTTCTGGTTTTCTTCAGTCAGAGCAAGGATTATGACTAATGCCCTCTACAGGCCAAAAAAGGGACAAAACTTCCCATGGACAGTGGTTTTCAGACACATTATCCATGGCGTGGGTTTCCATGACACGCGACTCCCACCGTAAGGGCACTGCCACCCCAGCCCTGGGGACACCCCGAGGCCTCCCTCAGTTAATGACAGACATTTACAGGTGGGACCTGCTCTCTGACTGCTGGCAAAGGCAATCGCTTCTTTGGAACCACCAGGAGAATGAGATGCACTGTAAGAACTGACTAAATGCAAGACTCCCAAGATATTAAAAAACAAAACAAAACACCTATATACACAGGAGCTGAAGTATTAAAATTGCCAAGAAAATCTGGTTTGCAAAACAGTCTTTTATTGTATCCGTGCCACACATACTAGTGAAAAATAACACTCCTAAAAAAGGAAAAGAAAAAGAATGCTACCTTTCCACAACATTTCTTTTAAATAAAACTTCAAGTACTCTTACATTAGTACAAAAAAAAATTCTGATCTATCTGCCCCAACAGGCCACCACAACACACAGTAGATAAAACACAGTGGTTACAAATGTCTTTTTCCGTTATTCTGTGGCAAGGCAAATGGAGGGAAATGTTTCTATGAAAAAATACTGTGTGCGTAGGAAATTGTCACAATTTTCTTCCACATGGGTACAAATGATTATACTTGAATTTGAGGCCGTGGTGGCTTGAAATTATATAACAAAATAGAAAAATGGAAAACTAATATCCCCTACACCCTGTTTCAAAGGCAGGCACTACCAAGATTAAGGAGACTCCACAGTGTTGGTAGAGGATAATTACTGTACAAGCCATAGAGCTATAATTACCTTAAGACTAAAATAAAATGCTACCATCCTCCTAAGGCATAAACAATAATGTCTGCAAACAATATGTACACATCATACATATTTAAAACAAGACTTAATATAAACAATAATGAACAGTATATACATGTCTCAATTTTTCTTCACTGTCTTGAAATACAATTTAACTACTCAAGTGATGCAGCAACATATATATAAATGTACTTGTAACTCTACAGTAAAGTTTAATTTTTAGTGCTTTCACAGCACATCAGTGTAAACAGTTTTACTTGGCTTTGTTTTATATTTTAAAACATTCCTTGTTGTATTTTCAACATTTAAAGCAATTTTCTAATTCTTCCTTTTCACAGAAAACGAAGATTCTGAATGCTGTATAATCATAAATAATTCATAAAATTAAATACATTCACTAAAAAATAAACTACAAAGTAAAAAAATGAAAAATAGATATTTATTGAAAGGGAAAAGAGAACCATTTCCCCAAGTAGAGCTCTGGTGGTTGAATATTCAGTGCGTTTTGATAAATTGCTATTGCACTATAACACCCCTTTCTTTGAAATTCTTTGGGTGTGCTTCCCTGTTCTACCTAAATTAGTTCGTTAAAACACACAAACCAATAACCAAGGGGCCATGGTTGCTGTAGGAGTGAAGCCTTTAAAACTAGTATCACAATTCTGTGATATTTTAAAGGAAAAAACCCAGTCATTAGTTACACATGTGCCTTGCACTTTCATGTAAATACAGTTCACATTGCTGGTCTCTTCAGTCATTA